GGGGGGGGGAGAGGGAGAGGGAGGGAGGGGGCTTCATTGCCTTCCCTCGCCCGCCCACCACTCACCGTGTAGCCTCTTTCCAACTCGCTCTCCTCATAGCGGAACGACGGGATGAAAACCTCCATGGTAGGGTCCCGGCGGGAGCTGAGAAGCGCCTTGGCGGGGCGCGGAGCGGCGGCGCCTGCCCGGGAGTGCGGGGGGGCCCGCGATCCTACGGCCCCCGCACGGCGCCAAACCTGGCGGAAGGAGCCATCGGCCAGGGCAGGTCACATGACTGGTGGGAACAACCCTTTCCCTATTTCTATGGGAACCAGCGGCTCTCGTTCTCCCGCCCCCCCTTTCCTCACGTGATTCCTGGTACAAGATGGCCTGGGAGAGGGGGAAGCGGGGGAGCTTGGAGGGAAAGGCCTCGGTGGCGGAGAAGGGAGGACCGGGTCGGGCTTGCTCTCCTCCCGGGTCAGGCCGGGCGCGATAAGGACCCTGACCGGTAGCACTCCGGAGCAAGGCTGTCGCACAAACGGCAGGCTGGGCGCTTGCCTTCAAGATCCACAGCAGAGAAGCGCTTGGTCGGGCTAGTTGAAAGCGCGAGGATGTGGGGCCGCTTTTAGTACCACTCATTGTGCGCATAAATAGAGTTTCCCGTCTGCAATTCTAGCCTTGCTCGGAGTGGCGACACGAAGATCACCTGAAACAGATCCGAGTGCTCTGGCACTTGCTTTGCGGCTGGGCGGTTGAGGGAAGCAACGGAGGAGGAAGGCGAGCTTCAAAAGCTCACGCTGGTGGGCTACAAATTATAAGAACCGGAGTAAGCGTTAGAGGCAGTTTTCAGAGTGCACCTACGCTGCACAGTTGCCGCAGTTTGATTCCACTTTTATTTGTTATGGCTCGGTCCTATGGACTCCTAGGAGTGTGGTTTGGTAAGGCAGGTAGACTTCTGTCGTTCAGGGATGGGCGCTAGAACTCTCTGGCCGAGAATTCAGAATACTGCACCAAACCCGATGCTAGGATTCCATAGGAGGGACCCCTGACAATTAAACAAATAAAACAAATAAAAAAAAGTAATCAAATTGCTGTGAGGGTTAAGCATCCTAAAACTTAGACTACGTCTTAACCTGCAGATTTCTACCTGAGGGCATAAGTTGTAGCACTTTTTTTCTTGGGCCCTGTTTCTTTGCTCTCTCTTCTGCCTCCCTTCATATCTGGACTGAAGATGAGTGTTGGTGTACTCAAAAGCTTGTCCCAGTATTCCTTGTCCCTCTTATTACCCACTGTGGGTTTGCTCATGAGCCCCTACTGTTCATGAGTGGGTGCTCCTAGAATAGTGCTGGGTGAAGCCAGTGACGTGTTGGTCTGCCTCCTGGAAAAAGAGCAGCATACACTTCCCCCCCCACACACACTTTTTAAGGACAAAAAAGGTAAGTCTTACGTAATTAATATGTTTCAATGGGGGAAAACCCATCTTGCAAAGCATCACCAATGGGGCTATGGCTGTAAATTTAAATGATAGAAGATGGTGAAAACAGCCAGGAACCAAAGGGTAAAGAAATAGTAAACAAACAAACCATCAGGAAAATCACAAATATAATCTTCCATTAATACAAATTATGCAGTTGAGTTTCCCACCTTTGGGGAAATCAGAGGAATCAGCAGCACACCCAAAGTGCAATGGATGAGCCTCCCCCTAGAAAAACCACTCTTATGACATGGTATTTTCCCTGCAGGGCCAGGAACCAAAGGGTAAAGAAATAGTAAACAAACAAACCATCAGGAAAATCACAAATATAATCTTCCATTAATACAAATTATGCAGTTGAGTTTCCCACCTTTGGGGAAATCAGAGGAATCAGCAGCACACCCAAAGTGCAATGGATGAGCCTCCCCCTGGAAAAACCACTCTTATGACATGGCATTTTCCCTGCAGGGTATGAGTTGGAATAGCCCTTGCATCTCCTATCCCCTTCTGTCCCCTGACCCCCTCAAGTCATGGTGACCCCCTGACTGTACTTCCCACTGAGTACAGGGCTGCACAGCCCCAGTCCTGCCAGAGGCCAAGAGAGCTCCTCAGTGTTTTGGGGTGCCCTGCGGGACCCCCATCAGGGGCTAAGTGTTCCTCCCACAATCCTCTAGTGCACAGGTATTAGCATAAGGTGTTAGTATATGCTAACACCTGTGCACTAGACTAGAGGATTGTGGGAAAAACACTTAGCTAATGCTAGGTGTTCCTCCCACGATTAGCATAATGTATTAGCATATGCTGATACCTGTGCACTAGAGGATTGTGGGAGGAACACTTAGCCCCTGATGGGGGTCCCGCAGGGCACCCCAAAACACTGAGGAGCTCTCTTGGCCTCTGGCAGGACTGGGGCTGTGCAGCCCTGTACTGAGTGGGAGGTACAGTCAGGGGGTCACCATGACTTGAGGGGGTCAGGGGACAGAAGGGGGTAGGAGGTGCAAGGGCCATTCCAATTCATCCCTTGCAAAAGAAATACCATGTCATAAAAGTGGTTTTCTTAGGGAAAGGCTCATCTATTGTGTTTCAGCTGTGTTGCTGATCTCTGATTTCCCTAAATGTGGAGAACTCAACTGTGTAATTTGTGTTAATAGGCAGTTGTAACTGTGATTTTCTTGGTTTTTCTAGATTCTTTCTTATCTATTTTTCTTCTCATCAGGACCTGCTGCAAAGGTAGCAAGTCTTGGTGATGTCTTATATTGCATTCTTTTTTCTCTCTCTTGTGGTAAAGGATCAGGGCAAAAGGAGTCACTATTATCAATAGCCAGAGGGGTGCTTTGGTTTTCTTTGTTGCTGGAAAAAGAAGGGGAAGGCCATCTGAGACCCATTGAATTTCCAAAGGCAATGCAGGTGAGGGGATTGTTTTCCCCCAATATGGTATAGGGAACTGTGTTTTGTAAGACAGTGATTTTTTCCCAATTGGAACACATTAAATAGATGCAAGACAGTGATTTCCATGGAATGAATTAAAATCATCTTGCGTAGCACAACTGCCAGATACAACAGTCACAATGTGTTTTTAACATTGCTCAGTGTTGAATGCTAGAAAAGTTAAGCATGAAGTATAGCATATGCTTAGCCTCCATTTTTTTAAAAAATGCTGTCAATAAAGCTAAATCTTAAATTTCATAAAACACCAAACCACTCAATCTGTTTCTGCTACTGGAGAGTAAAACTAGAAAATAAGCATGCAAAGAGGTAGCCTTCTCAGCCTGTTTCAGCAGAACCAAAACCAAAACAACAAAAGTATAGCCACAGCTATTAACAAAATTGCAACACCACAAATACACACAGATGAAATTATAGAACTGCCTGTCTGCTATCTACACAACCCAAGTCACACTACATTTCCTTATGGAGTCATGGTTGTTCTTGTGAAGAATAAAAAAGAATCACTGTTGAGGACAAGTTCCAATCCAATATTCTGCCTTGTATCCAAGTTGGCCTTCTTTCAACAAAGGGATATTGATCCAGAGAGGTTCCTGCTGGCAGGAAGAGAATGGTGTATAATTCCATCTTCCATGCCAATTCAGAGGGTCACCCAGTCTTCTCAAGTAGATTTTCATGCAGCAGAGGAAACAGGAATTGGCAGACGTTCTCCCTTCCAGTAGGAGGCATATCTCATTAGCAGTATTCTACTGTGCTTGAGGACTGCTATTTTTTGAGGCTGCACACATGCATGATCTTTTGTAAAAACTGGAACAGTTTCCCATTGGAAGGGGAAATATCACCACCCTGGAATTTATATAGCTTTTTAAACTGAAGACATGCAGTTGTACACAGTTGGTGTCACTTTGTTGATAGAATGCTATTTGGTACAGTGGGTGCTTCCATCTAGAAAATAAGAGAGCTAATTTTCAACTGTCCCCTTCCCCTTAGCAACCTATCGCAAATCTGCTAGGGGAAGTTTCATAACAGGAGGTAACACAGAAGACTGCAGGGCAGGGGAATCACCCATAATAGCCTCTAATTATGGAAGACTACACAACATGAAAGAGCATTCCACAAGGACAGTGACACCAATGGCTACACCCAGTCAAACTGACTTTGCATTTGGAATTCGTGGCAGTTCCATGATTCACTGTTTTAAAGTCTGACATATTTTTAAAAGCTGACCAACTGCATAATATTTTTCTCACTTTAATAGGGATAACTGTCATGACTACAACTCTTGCTCAAGTAGTTTAGGAAATAGGGAAAATGAAAGACAAAGTTAAAGATTAATGTTTCACAAGGTACATCCCTTTATTACCGTAATCACAAAATCTTGATTATGTACAGGAATGTGTATGTGAACTTTAATAAATGCAATTTGTTTCATAAAGATCAAGTAGACAGAACATATTGTAAAGAACAAAAATAACTTTCTGGCCTTGCATCGCACATTTTAGTGCAAGTATTAAGACACAAATAGTGTTCAATTCAGCAAGTATTGCAGAATGTCATGCCACAGTCCACTTCAAAGAGGGTCATGACATGCAGCTGTTAATAAAATGCTGTAGTATATAAAAAGCCACATGTTAAATTCATAAAATATATAGTGGTTTATTTGGATGATTTTAAAGTGATTTCACTGTGGAATTCAGCTCAATTGGGACAAACATCCAAAGAATCTTCATATTTGAAAGTCTTCTTTCTAGGCAATGGCTTTGGCTTCAGGTAGGAATGCCTCCCCATATTTTATCAGCTTTTAAAAAGAGAGAGAGAAATAGTAAATGTCACTTCATTTATTTACAGTTAACTCCTACAATTTTAAAGTGATACTGTCTTTGGAGGCTCACACTCCTTATATATACAAAGGCTGCATGCATGAAGAACTGAGAAGTTGTTCCTTATTTTCAGGCACATGATTACAAAGGCAGTTTATAAAGAAATCTAAAGCAAAGTTAATTTTAAAAATGTTAAATTGAAGAAGCTGCTACTACATGTAAACTACATGTGATCCAAACATACCTACTGTGCTACCTGATGATTACAAGTATAAATTAGGAAAATATACATAAACTATGCTTGAAAAAAGAGTGCCTCCTCTGTGAAATCAAAATCCTATCATTAGCTTTATTATTTGGAGATGCAGAACAATTATAGAAATTAATGAAGTACAATGTGATCTTCATTTCCACTAATGAATCTTACATTGTGTGTTTATGTATGTATGTATACACACACATATACAACATGCTGAAGTTATTTGTAAGCTCCCTGCCGAATCAGTTGATTTTATCAAAGAAGTAGGAAAGACTAGTAGTGGCAGAGATAAGCTAAGCTATCAGGCAGCAACAAAAGTGAATTGCCTTGGAGCAGAGAACTGCTGTGTCTGTGGAGTAAATAAGTGAGAGATGAAAGATTCTAAGTCTCTTTCATTTGGTCATTTGGCAATATAATTAAAGGATATTCCAAAACAATTTATAAATACCTGCTGTTGTGTTTGCACTAAGGATTCCAAATACTTGATTATAACAGTTTTGAAGTCTCTCACACGTTCTTTCTGTAAACAAGACATAATAAATTAAACTAGTTACATGTTGATCTACTTTCTCAATGTTTTTATTTATCAGGTTCTCTCAATTTTAATTTGTTAAAATCATACATACTTCAAATCTTCCTACTTCTTTGCGTATTGTTTTGGATATTTGTTCAAAATCTCTCTCTCCTTGTTGAACTTTTGCTTCCCACTAAAAGAGAAAATGCGTAAGTAAACCAACTAAAACATGAAGCACTCTTTTAAAACCACAGGTGTGTAATATTGGTTCTAGCTAAGGCAAGTTTCCTATGCCTCAAATCAGGGAAATGTCACAGTGATGACTTGACATTTGAGTACATATTTAAGAGTTATTACTGGAAGTCACAGCCAGAGAAGCTTCATGGCCAAGATTAGACTGTGAAGCAAGAGGTCTCTCATTCTATGTATAATTTCTGCTATGAATTAGGTTGCCCTAAGGAAATACTATATTTGGCTCATACATACTCTGAAGCTAAAATGATGACACATTTACACAGTTGTTTACTGAGATATATGAAACACTGAATGAAATTTAATAAAGCTACTACTGCTGCATATACAGTGAATAATACTAAAGTATATAACCTAACAATGCCATTCAGTTGATTTGGAAGATTTTCATATGATGTACTAGTCACTGTATATTCCATTTCAGGATTAATAGCAGCATTTAGTCCCAGTTCTTGATAGCTGAGATGAATTGTACAATAATACATTCATAGAGCTCAAGTCTCTGACTGGTTCCCCACACCTGTGTACCTCCAATAAAACATTTCAAATGCCTCACATCTGAATTAACACAAGAGATTCAGGGTTGTCTGCTATATAAGTATCCCTCCAATGAAGTAAATTCTACTTATTGTTATGTAAAACATTTCAAATGCCTCACATCTGAATTGACACAAGAGATTCAGGGTTGTCTGCTAAGTATCCCTCCAATGAAGTAAATTCTACTTATTGTTATGTCAGACTGCAGTGAAGGCATCAAACTGGTCATACTTCTGTTTCCATCATAAAAGCCATCACAGAAGGTTTAAAAGACATGCAAGCAGTAATAATGGATGAAGTTAACATGCATAGGACTCCCAACTTGAACCATAGCTGATTTTAGAACATAAGTCTCTCAGTATTTTAAAGGCAGAAATACTATTAAGGCTTAGACACAGAAACTATTGTCATTCCCAAATAGAACAGACTTATCCAATCAGTGGCACATACATGCTGATTTATCAAGTTCCCATTGGTTCAGTGGGTCTGCTCCAGTTGGGACTAATAACTTGATTTAGGCCTTATACAGACATTAGACACAAAGGCAGAGGTCTTAATTAGGTAACAGTCACTGCATGTTTAAGCCTGTTACAGCTCCAAAATTATGGCTATCCATTTATGAAAAGAAACAGCTAGGTACAGAACCTATATGTCGTTTTGTACAGTGGGGTCTCGACTTATGAACGGCTCGACATACGAACATTTCAACTTACGAATCGCTCTCATAGGAATATATGGACTCGACTTACGAACTTGGATTCGAGTTACGAACTCTTTTTTCCCCTTTTTTTAAAGCTAAGTCATCTTAGGTTAAAAGGAAAAAAGAAAAAAATTATCCCCCTCTAGTGGCAGAAGGCGGAATAGCAGCTCCCCATTAGTTTCTATGGACGAAAAGAGCAGATACAGATTAAATGGTTTTCAATGCATTCCTATGGGAAATGCAGATTTGACTTAAGAACTTTTCGACTTGAGAACTGCCTTCCAATACGGATTAAGTTCGTAAGTCGAGACCACACTGTAGTAGCATGTTGTGATCTGGTAATGCAAACTGAAGTCACTTATTTTTATTTTTTATTTTTAAAAAATGCTTGCCATGAGTCTAGTCACTGCCTTTTCAGATTTGACATATTGTGTGCATATGCCCAATGCCTCCTTTGAGGAAAACACTATTTAAACTTACATGGGGCAGTGCAGACATAATGTTTCCATTAAGGAACAATGAGTAGAAAGGTAAGCTGTATGCTCCCTCTTCATGCCCACCTTTACTAGAGTTACAGCATTGATATTAACATTAGTGGCTGTTAAGCTAACTACTGTCACTGATAAATGGTACCTATTTCAAACTCTACCTCAGCGGGAATCCTAGCTAGCTCTATCCATGTTCAACATCAGTTTGAATGTTAGAATCAACTACTGCTAAAAATGAACAATTCATTATCAGGCTGAAATCTTATTGCTTCAGTCTTCTTTTCTCAAGGCTAAACATGCCCATGTCTTTCAGTCCATCCTCACAAGGATTCGTTTCCAGTCCTCTGATCATTCTTGTTGCCCTCCTCTGAACTTGTTTTAATTTATCAGCATACTTCTTAAAGTGTAGTTTCCAGAGCTTGACACAGTATTCATGATGAGGCCTAACCAATATTGAATAGAGGGAAACTAGTACTTCACAGGATTTGGAAATTATACTTCTGTTAATGAGCCTAAAATAACATTTGCTTTTTGTAGCTGTATCACACTTTTGGGTCATATTCAGATTGTGATCTGCAAGAATTTCAAGATCCTTCTCACATGCAGTGTTACTGAGCCAAGTATCCACCATTTTGTAATTGTGCATTTTGTTTCTTTTTCTTAGGTGTAGAACTTTGGACAAATCTCTAATAAATTTCATGTTTTAGCCTAGTTTTCAGCCTAATGCTCAAGCTTATCAAGATATTTTCAAATGTTGTTTCCGTCTTCTAGGGCAGTGGTCCCCAACCTTGGGCTTCCAGATGTTCCTAGACTTCAACTCCCAGAAATCCTGGCCAGCAAAGGTGGTGTTGAAGGCTTCTGGGAGTTGTAGTCTAAGAACTTCTGGAGGCCCAACGTTGGGGACCACTGTTCTAGGTTATTAGCTATTCCACGCAATTTTGTGTCGTCCTCAGATTTAGTAAGCATTCCCTGAACTTCCTCATCCAATTTATTAAAATGTTTTTGAAGAGCACTGGACCCAGGACTGAGCCTTTGTGGTACACTGCTTGTTATCTCCTCCAGTTTGAGGAGACACTGATAAGCACTCTAACTATAATTCTGTAACCAACTGAATATCACCCATATGGGTTGTTCTATCCAGCCCACACCTAGTTAGCATGCTAGGTAAAGGTAAAGGTTCGCCTTGACATTTTCAGTCCAGTCGTGTCCGACTTTAGGGGGCAGTGCTCATCCCATTTTCAAGTCGTAGAGCCAGCGCTTGTCCCAAGACAGTTTCCATTGTCACGTGGCCAGCATGAATAGGGAACGCCGTTTTACCTTCCCACCGAGGTGGTACCTATTTATCTACTTGCATTTGCATGCTTTCAAACTGCTAGGTTGGTGAGGAGCTGGAACAAAGTGATGGGAGCTCACTCCGTCACGTGGATTCGATCTTACGACTGCTGGTCTTCTGACCCTGCAGCACAGGCTTCTGTGGTTTAGCCCAGTGGTTCTTAACCTTAGTTACTCGGATGCTTTTGAACTGCAACTCCCAGAAACCCCAGTCAGGACAGCTGGTGGTGAAGGCTTCTGGGAGTTGCAGTCCAAAACTCCTGAGTAACCCAAGGTTAAGAACCAGTGGTTTAGCCCACAGCGCCACCACGTCCCTATAGTTAGCATGCTAGTTAGGGTATAATGAGGCACTTCGGCAAAAGCTTTGCTGAAGTCAAGTTATATTATGTCTACAGTATTCCCACCATCTAGTAGGGAAGTTACCCAATTAAAAAATGAGAGATTAGTTCCATAGGTTCCATTACTCCTCTATAAGTTCCACTGATTCAAATGGGTACACTGACTTGAATCAATGGAACCTACCAAGAAGATGACTCACCAAATCCTCACTGAATCAATGGGCTTATTCTACTGCAACTTACTATGCTGAGGAACAAGATTTCAATTGTTTAACTATAGTTACCCAGATATGAATATTGTATTTCTAGCTCCTACACAAGTGTAATATTGACTCATAGGACTCTCAGTTGAAGATGGTAACAACAAAATACAACAGTTTTGCTAAAATACTTTACTATGTCATCAATGAAGACTTGCATAGTGACAGAAACTAGATGCAAATAAGTTTGCATTCTTTATGAAACTTATGAAGCAGCCAGAACTGGGGGGAAAATAGCATGGAAGCATGTTATCCTACCTCTTCGATTTCCTTAGAGAAGCATGATAGAAAAAGTGCAAAGATTATGATAACTTCAAGATGTTCGACAGTTTTAAATTACTGTACATCATTTTTTTTTCTCTCTCTATATATATATATGGGAAGTGTTCCATCAGTAAGTAAAATGATCTTTACCATTTACAATTATGTAAATTCTGTATTTTAGATGTAGCCTGCATGTCACATAAGTGACTTACTTCAAATTCAGGGTCTTGTTTCTTTTAAAAAATGAACTGTCCCACTCATTCTGTAAAATACTAGAATTAGCATACATTTCAAAATTTATATTAGCCTAATTGTTGTGCATGAAACTGCTGAACCACTTGTAATTCTGGTAGTAATGAAACACACATGCAATGATTAAAATCAGTTCAAAAGTAATGCTTTAAAGCCAATGCGGGGGGAGGGGGAACAAACTTATATAGAATTGTCACTCATTCTATTCTATATAAGAGAAAGACATTATTCTAGTCCATGTAAGAGAAAATGTGAATATTTTCCAAATTTACCTCTTTGATTTCATCCTTAGCTTGCTGCAATTTATCAGGTTTGTTAGCAAGCTGAAGTTTAGCTTCAGCTTCTCTTTTTTTCTGTAACATGATTTGAGCATCTTGCCATTTCTGCCAACATTTCATTCGATGATCAAATACACTCTGTAAGCAATATGGGAACAATACAAATGCATTCATGTAATTGTGTACCATCAAGTCAATTCTGACTTATGGTGACTCTTTTCAGAGTTTTCTAGGTAGAGGTTTGCTCAAAAGTGGTTTACCATTCCCTTCTGCTAGGCATTAGACTTATTCAAAATTTCAGACATTAAAAGACAATGTTTATAATGCTTAAATATTTAACTCTCTATCGATCAATACTTAGCTTGCATAAATCTTATCAATAATGCAATAATGCAGCTAAAAACCTGAAGAATAATGATAATCATCATCTTCGAACTGCAGAGCTGGAGCACCATGGATTATCAAGTCCAGTCTGTCAAGAAGGCACAGTGGAAAATTGAACTCACGACCTCTAGTTCTGCAGCCAGATACCTAAACCACTGAGCTATCCAGAAGTTCACGACAAAGCCTATGTTCTCCCACTGAAGTCTAACTCTGAAAATGCCATATTAATTTCATTTTTAATATGACACATTGTACAAAGATAACTTTTGTAAGCATTGACTAGGATTCATGGAATTTGCAGCTAACTCCCCAAAATACTGAGTAGACAAAATGAAATGAATGAGACTTGTCAATCACAGCTTGTATAAGTCCCACAGATTTCTACTCCAACTGCAACTATCACTGGATTTAGCCTGCTGCAAAATCTTCAGATTTTGCTTATAAAAACAAGATTCAAGTTGTCATTACACCGTTTTGCCCTGTGTACAAAGAACTACACAAAAGAACATAATGCTGTTATAACACAATGGCAAAATATGCTTAATCATTTATTAAGTAAATTCTCAACTTGATATATTTAAGAAGATACCAGCACTTGATACATTGTATAAGGTATATAGCAAAACAGATGTTGGGCAAATTTTCTAAGTATTTCTCAGCTTCCCTGGCATGCAACCTTAAATCCAAAAAAATTAATTTGCTTTTGTAATTGCGGGCATTGCTTTCTGTTACAACACTGCATTTTACACATACTTATACTATGCAAATTTTGTGGTCCTTAACATATATTCTATCTTGCAAAACTTTAAATAATTTAAAAAGTGGGACTTACTTTTACTGCACCAATAAGGCGAATGTAGTCACTGAGCAACTCAGAAAACACATAGAAGTCAGCAAATGCTTGTTCTTGATGTAACTGATCTATCTTTTCCTCAACTTCAGCAAGCTGAGACAAAGCTCTTGATAAAGCAGTATGGTCTTCTGAGTTCCCTAACATTGCAGCACTTTTAGCAAAGGCAGCTGTGTTGACTGAAAGTTCTGAAACAAAAAATAAACTAGTGAAAATGGACACTCAGACATTCATAAAATGAAAGGCTTTAAAATGTGGCTTTGCACATGCTGGCATTGAATGCCAGATTTCTGTAAATTCAGGAAAAGTCTGCTCCTGAACGGGAAAAAAAACATCAAAAATAATTCAGCTCAGTTGAAGTAAACTTTCATAATGATTATTTTGTTCATCTTCAAACAAACACTTCCACTCTCTTCTCTCTTGTAGATTTGCAGGGAAGTGACAAAATGCAAGACATTTCTATGACATACGTACGGAATGAAGCTAACAGCTCCGGATGACCCACCCTATCTCCTCATGCAGGCACCCAGTCAGAGGAAGAGGCGGGGCAGAAAAGCCCATGGTGGCGCTTCTGATTGGGCACCCATGGAAGGAGGTGGGGTCCGGAGCACCCACGCAACCCTTGTGGGCCCAAACCAGGCCCAATCAACAACTAAGAGCAGGACCCTCATAGTGTCCACCTGTGCGGGGGTATCCGTATATGAATACCCCCATCTTTAACTTCAACCCATCAAAAAAGGCCACTTGGTGGACAACCCAGATACTATCCAATTTTAAGTCCACTACTTCAAAAGGCCTGTGCTTTACTTTGATAGAAATTAAATTGATAGCAAATTCATTGGGAAGAATGAATGTAATGGTTAAGATGCTGAAATGTATCTACTGTATCTGCATGAAGCCCTGACATCATCTATTAGAGAAATAAGAAAGCAGATGATCTGTAATGAGGCACAGCTGGATGGAACAGCTTTATAGGTTTTTACAGAGATATAAACTGATGCAGAAAATCAGTGCCTTCTTCCCAGCATCTCCAGTTAAGACTTCCCACTGACTGTTAATCTCTCCCTTTGCCATCATTATGATTGGCAAAACTCTGCTTCTTCTTGCCATCCCATATTAATCCAATTTGCCAGTAACCATATGCTTCTTTATACAGTGGTGCCCCGCATGACGATGATAATCCATTCCAGCAAAATCGCTGTAAAGAGAAACTGTCATCATGCGAAAGTAAAAAACCCATTGGAATGCATTAAAAACCAGTTAATGCATTAGAATGGGGGAAATACCTGCTAGTTTTGTGAAGATCCTCCATAGGGGAAGCCATTTTTGGAAATAGGTCCGGAAAACAACGGGAAGACATTTTGAAAACCCGACAACCAGCTGTTTCTAATCATCGTGCAGCGAGAAAACAGTTCCAAAAGCAGGGAACTAGTCATTGTTAAGTGAAAAAAACCCATAGAAACATCATTTTATGATCGCTATAACGATCGCAAAAAACTCATCATTAAGCAATTTCGTTGTGAAACAGGGTCATCGTCAAGTGGGGCACCACTGTATATTGTTTTTAGTTTGTCATGGTACAAAATATACAAGGATTAAAGAAATGTAAGTAGCTGCATTTTTGGAGTTATCTCTACATTCTTGATATAGTATACAAAGGTCCTGAACACTCAATATGAGGTAGGAGAACACCAGAACACCTACGTTATCATTAAGATGTGAAGGTAACAAACACAAAAGGGTGGTATCTCCATTTTACATGCATTCCTATTGATTTCAATGGAAGGTTCAAGTACTTGGTTTCCTGCTTTAAAAACACATAACCATATTTGCTACAGGTTTGTTGATTTACAGGGACAAATAGCTAGTGAATTCTAGTAACACATGCTTAATATATTTGTATTATAAGCACTACAGTCCTGAAGGCACCCACGTTTCCTTTAATTTGTAGAGTTTTCTTACAGGAAGTCTACATAAAATATAAAAGGCTTCTGATGTGCTACAAAGCTTCAGAACCGTTTATATGATAGGAATTCTACATCATATGTAATTCAATTTGTTGCAACTTTCCTGTGCTGAGATTACTGAAATATTATGAGCAGGAAAGGTCTGACAGACAACTAATTCACAAATAGCTCACTTTTAAAGATGTGAAAACTTGGTTAAAATATCTACCTTTTCTGTGACACACCAAGGCTTCTACACTACCATGAAGTTTCCGAAGCTGCTGATCAAGATTTTCAAATTGTTGTTGTTTTTCCTCAAACCACTGGCAAGAAGGGAAAATCAACAATTACAAATTATATTACCAGTGCAAACTACATCCCCAATCTTAAGGAAATACATTAACTGAGCATAAACATGGTGGTCAGCTGAAGCAGTTGACAATCCAAGCCAATAAGTAAATTAATATCCCATTTTCTTCTCTTATGGTCTTAAAATGCAACTGTTGAGCCTCATTAATTCATCTCATTATTCAAGTCGAAAAATCAGCTCTTACTGCATCCGATTCATTCATCTTGATCGTCATTTTGTTGACAGCGTCGGCAGCCTTGTTTACCATCCTCAATATTCCTGCTCCACTCAGAGCCTGGGTGTTAACTGCTCTCGGCAGCTGGAATTGAATGACAAATAAGGGCAAACAAACCGGTTAAAAGGCTGGAGGTTTAACTGGGCACCGAAGGGAATGAAAAGGATGTAGTGTTTTCTTCCCCCTCATACATTTCAATATAGTGGAACCTAATTTCTTAAATTTACTACTTTTACATTCTCAGAGGAAAACTTAAAAAAATAGCCTTTCAATTTGCTTTTCTTCTGAGCCTTTACATTTAGATGGAACACAGAGACCATTTGTCAAAAGTTGTTACAATACCACCAAGTGCCTTAACTGGCTACCTGTATAAGAACAGCAGCATTGGCTTTTAAGGTTCCAGCATTTCCATACTACAGGTGGTGTGGCACAAGAACATTTTTGTTAAAAATGCCTCAAGCATATAAAAACATCAGTTCTAACACAAATAGCTATATTACTAAAAATGTTTTTGCAAATACTGTCAAATGGTATCTGCGATTATTTTCCTTAGATATAGATATATTCTGTTTTCACCAACAGCTGCAGCGAGAAGAAGCAGGTTTCAGTGGATATTTCATTTGTCCACACCCTGCTTCCACATGAGGCAGTTGCAGGTCCACAAAAATCCCCCCGGTTCTAGCTAGAGTACTGAGAGAGCATCAGTCCAATTATTCATGGTTGTGGCTGCCAGACTTGCAATGCCTTTCCTTATAAACACTGGATAGCACTCTCCTCCATATAGGGAATTAATAATCCAGGTTTTTAATTGCTCAGACAATAATTTGTTAGCCCTTAGACATAGCATCATGGTAGGATACACTTAAATTATTTTTAAAGAATTTGTTAACAGGCTCCAGCAGCTTTTTAGAAGCAGAAAGGTTAATTATGTGTAGCCTGCATAATTAAATTGTAAACCACCCAGATAGTGCTTTAAGAGCTATGGGTCAGTATATAAGCAGCATGCTTTTTGCTTTTTCAATTTACATACTGAATAACCAAATTTCAATATATGATGACAGTGTGTTGCTAAAGTATATAAAAAGAGAAATAGGAGATTTTAAATACCTCAGAACTTTCTAAGAACTGTCTTAAATCAGGATCCTGTAACAAGGTTGGATGTTTAACTGTTCGTTGTAGATACCTACAATTTAAAAAGTTAGACAATATTTAGTGTTCCTGAAATTATTTAAAAATATTTGCCATCCACAGATTTCCTATGTGGGCTTCAATACTCTTCTTCATCAAGCACTGTGCTTTAAAATTTGTAAGAAAAAATGAGTTGCCTCAAAGGCAGAGCAGAGCCCAGAATCATTTGACTGTTCAGATATTTGTTGGACTACAATACCTATGATCGATCACTACTGGCTAGGTTTTGTGGGAGTTGTAGCCCAATAAAATCAGGTCCACATACCCCTAATTCAGAGGATAGTTCAGTGTCAATTCCCCTTCAATATTTTGCCTCTCTAAGACAACTAATTATAATAAGTATTTGTTACATTTTTTCTGGAAACAGGAGTTTGTTCTGTATCTAATTTGCCATTTCTAACACTCATAAAGTACAGCAAGCTACTAGTAGCCCTTCTGCTAAAAACAGATTGCCCTAGTCTTCTGTTAAAATTCAGTTATCACTCTTACATTATACAACCAGAGCTACTGATAATGTAAGTTCTACAATGTCAGTAGGATTTCTGTATCTAATAGTATGCCTTGGTTTATTAGTTTCCTTAATCAGCTTGGTCTGTGGTATTGATTTAGATCAAATACATTCTACAAACGACACAGAAGTATGGGTTTTATACTTCCAGAGGAGGTGTATCAAACATAGAGTTTGCTTCCTCCAGCAGTGCTAGGGATAATCATATGCATAACCTATGGCATCACTTAGTAAAGCCTAATTCAACTTTTTAGGCCTACTCCATTTCTTCTTAAGACTCTGACCATACAGACTTTGTAATATCTGTGTTAGCCTTTCCCCACTTTTCTCCCCTCTTCTTGCTTTTTGTACTATAGCAGAAGATAACAGAGGATTAAAAACCCCAATAGTGCTACTGGAATTGCATGCTCCTCTCCACCCTAGAGAGGAATTGCAGGCTCCTCTCTACCCTAGAATAGCCAAACACATCCAGTAATAACACTGATGGTCCTTCCTGCTGGGGTGTGGGAGGAGTTCAATGAATTAGAATTTCAACTCCTTTGTGTTAGAACAGAGCGAAGTATATGATATATAGAAGACTGCCAACCTGGCATTTGGGAGGTTCAGGTTCAAATCTCCAATCACTCATGAAATTCACCTAATGAAACTGAACCAATCACTCTTTCTCATCCCAATCTGTATCATAGGGTTGTTGTGAGGAAAAGGTAGAAAGGAGGTACTTTATTTCATTGGAGAAAAGGTGGAATATAAATGGAAATCTAGGACCTTCTATTATATACCTGACATCTTACCTTTCTTTTTTTTTAATTACATTTTTCATTCATAATAATGAAACCAAGGTTAAATTTATGAAATATTTTGTTCATGTCTCTATTGCCAACTCTGAAGGAGACCAGTAAAAATATTTTTTCCCAGTGGACTGGAACACCTAACTGCAAACTAGGGTTCAGGAGTGTGAATTCCCACTGTGCCTTCCAGAAGAGGGATCAGCTGAGATTAGCTGGAGCATGTGTGGCTCATGAGTTATGCATCAACCCACTTTGGGCAAGCTGCATAGTCCCAGAGTACCAGCAGGAGGAGACAGTGGGAAACCATTTCTGAGTACCTTATAGACAACAAGCCCTGGGACAGTTGCCATAAGTTGGAATTGGCATACTGTTATTGAACACTGCTTGCAGGAGGACTCCCAAGAAAGAAGAGCAGTACATAAAAAGTAGATTCATCCAATTTAAATTTTGAAATTTCTCTGGGTGCATGGCGGCAATCTTACCAACATATACAGTGGTGCCCCGCTTAACGATTACCTCGTTAAACGATTAATCCACTTTAGGATGGTTTATTTGCAATCGTAAAATGATGTTCCTATGGGCTTTTTCTGTTTGATGATGATTGGTTCCCTGTTTCAGGAACCAAATGTTCGCTTGATTATTTTTAAACAGCTGATCGGCGGGTCGCAAAATGGCCGCCCGCTGTGCAAAATGGCTCCCCACTGTTTTCAGCACTGATTGCTCGCTTTACAGGCAATGGAAAATGGCTGCCCTATGCAGGATCTTCGCTGGACGATGAGGTATTTCACCCATTAGAATGCATTAACAGGTTTCTAATGCATTCTAATGGGTTTTTTAATTTCGCTTGACGACAATTTCACTTAACAGCAATTTGAACAGAACAGATTATCATCAAGCGAGGAACCACTGTATTATGTTTCTAAAGTATGGCTGCTTGATTGTGCCACAGCATTCAGAAGCTTCATTTCTAGCACAGAAACCTCACACAGTATCTAGCGCTCCATGAGATGATTTCCACCCTCTCCACCCCATATCTTCAAAATTTGTTCTGGAGTATTCATTTTGATCAATGGAAGTGAGGTTCTCTTATGTTCAAGGTAATGTATCTATGCAAGTATGTGTCAAGTGAACAATGTTTGGGATAAATTACCTTTCTAGTGCTGCTCTTCTTTTCTCTACAAATTCTGTAGATGACGAATCTTCCTTGCCTACTTTCACCTTGGTCATGCCTTGAAGGAAATGATGTAAAAATATTAATTTCATAATTTGATTAATTTAACTGAACTTTGTAGTACTACCCCAAAATGTATATCAGCATCAATGAAGCTACAGAAAACATTCAAATGTTGCTATGAGTTGGGCTTCAAACTTCACTCTCCATCTACCTAACATCTGCCATATTTATTTCTTGTTTCAATTTTCAACTATGAAACTATACATTGAGGAACTAGGAATATATATTTATGCAGCTACCTTTTTCTGTCTAAACTTCTTGTCTTGAAGCAATGGCATAAAGCATGCTTGCTGCTTATGCTTGAAAACCAAAGCAATTAGTTTTTCAGTTTAAAGGATAGTTAGGCAGCACTTTGTAAGGAAGAAACTTACCACAGTCTTTCTCCACTGGCAGATCTCTGGAAACAAGCAAGGTGATCCAATAGACACTTTACAAAGTTGCAATAGTGTTTGGACACAACTGGCTAAGCAGTAGTAGCACATTGCAATTTGACAAAAATAAAAATACCAACAACATCCTTAGCCCACATCAGAAGTGAAGATGTTTAATTATTAGCCGGGAAGGATATGGTGACTGGAATTTGAGGGGCAGATTCACCAGCTCTGGCCTAGAACTGAGTTCCAACATATCACAAGATGTATTGTGGAAGTCACCATTCAAATATACCTAAAGAAAATCTGTTCTATTGTAGCAGTGAAATCACAAACATATTTGAAAGTAAAACATCATGTAAAGGTATAAGTGTTTAATGTAAGCCAGGCTCAAAAGGACTTTTTTAAAATAAGTATCTGTGAAGGGAACCCTGGCCAAGCTGCTTGATAACAGGGTAGCAACGTGGTTGCCTGGGTGATATATGTGTAAGCCTATCTTGGAGACTGAAGGAGGAGGCTGGAGGGCTGGAGTAATGAAAGAGAGGGGAGCCTGAAGATTTTGAGTGAGAAAAAAGGGTTGTGATGAAAAGGGGAAATATGGAATTCAGCAAATTTAAAAGCAGGGTGTAAGATAAGGAACTTGCGGGTATGAATTATCCTAACTGGTTGTTGTAGCTGGACAAAAAACACTTTAAGCTCAAAATTGTTTCCAGTCTAATGTTCTTATGTCCGGATGAGCGAAGCTTCCAATCAGCAGGCGGAACTTTTCCAATAGTATATAATCTATCCAGAATTGGTCATAATGATTGGCTTCCCCTTACCATCTCACCTGACCAATTTGCAGCATTCTTTAAATTTAAAGTGGAGGCCATCTGCCTGGACCTAACCCCCTATTTGAAAACAGTAGATTGAGACATCCCACACACCATCGTGTCCAATGAGAATTACTCACTTTCAGCTGGTGACATCAGTAGAGGTGGACAAAGTGCTTGCTGTCGTGCCTCCTCCTCCTCCCTTGACCCTTGCCCGGCCAGGCTAATCAAAGCAGCCAGGCCTGTGACATTTGAATGGGCCACTGCAATAATTAATAGGTCTCTCCATGGGGAGAGGCTCATTAGACCCATTAGGAAGAAACCGAGCTTGGTGGTGGAAAACACTGGCAATTATAGGCCTGTTGCCAAAGTTTCTTTACTTAGCAAGGTAGCAGAGAGGTGGTGGCCGATCAGCTTCAGGCCTTTCTGGATGAAATCAATGGCCTGGATCCATTCCAGTTGGGCTTCAGGCCAAGCCACGGTATGGAAACAGCATTGGTCACCGTGCTGGATAACCTATTGAGGGAGGCAAACAGGGGCAAAATATCCTTGTTGGTTCTCCTCAACATCTCAGCTGCCTTTGATACTGTCAACCACGGTATCCTCCTGGGGAGGTTCTCTGAGTTGGGGATAGGTGGTCGGGCTCCAGTCCTTCTTGAAGGACCAATCTCAGAGAGTCCAGCTTGGGGAGAATGTATCAGGCCCCGTGGCTCCTCAATTGTGGGGTCCCGCAGGGCTCAGTCATCTGTCCAATGCTGTTCAATATCTACATGAGGCCGCTTGGAGGCATTATCTGGGAGTGTGGTGCCTCATGTATACTGATGACACTCAGCTCTACATCTCCTTTTTTCCATCAGCAGTGGATTCCATTATGTCTTTTGAGCGCTGCCTGGATGCAGGAGAATGGACGGAGGCTGAACTCCAGCAAGATGGAGGTCCTGAGGGTGGGTGCCCCTGTCATCAGTGGGCTTGGAAGCTCCCTCTCTTTTGGCGGAGTGACTCTCACCACAAAGAGTGTGCTCCACCACTTGGGGGTCCATCTTGACCTGGTGCTTGCCATGGAATCCCAGGTAACGTCTGTGGTCCGCACCGCCCATTTACATCTTCGGCGGATTGCCCAGCTGTGCTCCTATCTTGATGTTGGGGCATATATCACACTCGTCCATGTGCTTGTAGTCTCAAGATTAGACTACGGTAATGCACTCTATGTGGGGCTTCCCTTGAGATTGATGCGGAAACTTCAAATGGTCCAGAACACAGCGGTCAGATTACTAACTGGGGTGAAAAAATATATTTCCCCCACTCTGGCCGCTTTACACTGGTTACCCATTAGATTCCGCATCGATTTCAAGGTGCTAATGATTACATATAAAACCTTTAATGGTTTAGGACAGTGATAGCGAACCTATGGCACACGTGCCGCCTGTGGCATGCTGAGACATCTCCCTTGGCACACAAGCAGAGCACTACCCCCTGCTACTCCCACCCCACCCTACCCCACCGCCAAAGCTCAAACCATGTCAGCCACCTCTTCTTGCTAATTTCCTTAGTTCCGTCACTCCTTCTTTAAGATATCTCTTTAAGAGATTGGAGAAAAGCCTGCTTGATTGGTTACAGCTGGCCCCTGGGAGTCAAATGACTGGAGGTGACTTTGTAAGCAAGAAGGAAAGGCTGCAGGTTAAGGAGGGAAGGAACCTGCGACTTCATCAAGCATGTTTAAATGTATGTACAAAATGGAGGGAGCAAGGGTGTGTGTGTGTACTTTTATCTGGAATAAATGTTACTCTGAGTTTGTTTCATCAAAGCAGAGTGTCTCTTTGGGAACTTCTTTTTTTCCTTGTCAAAGGGTTCTGTGTTAACACTGTGGAATTAAAAGTTTAGAAAAAATTGTGTGTGTTCGTGTTTTTGTGTGTGTGAGAGAGAGACTCAAAACTAAAACGTGGCTCAAAACCTAGGAAATTTTGTGTGTGTGTGTGTGTGTACTTTTATCTGGTATAAATGTTACCCTTAGTTTGTTGAATCAAAGCAGAGTGTCTCTTTGGGAACTTTTTTTCCTTGTCAAAAGGTTCTGTGTTAATGCTGTGGAATTAAAAGTTTAGGAAAAATTTTATGTGTTTGTGTGTGTGACTCAAAACTGTTAATCTCCACTGCATTTAGCTCTGCAGTTTGCTGAGAACAGCAGAAATCTGAAGTGTGTAGCAATTGTGTTTCTCTATTTCTTATCCCCAAAGCAGGCAAGTGTATCAGTTTATTCCCAAAATCTGAATCCCAGTCTTTCTGCTCCTGGTCCTACTTTGACTGCAACACCAAACAAAAGGTCTTACAAACAAAAGACTGAGGGTTCCTTTATTGTGTCAATTCATCTCATGTGCACTCTTCCTCTTTTCCTACTGCTTTGCACTTTCTTGTATTGCTGCCTTTTCCAGTGAGCTTGTCTTCTTCCGATGGTAGTACAGTACCCTTTGTTTGGTTATTTTAGCTTGTAGTGAAAGTCCACACTTAATTTGCTTTACTTATCTTTCTGACAAGTCATGCTATCTGTAAAACTCTTTTCCAACACTACATTTCAAATAAGTGAAATGTGTGTATACACTTTAAGCAGTGTATAAAACGTGTAATTCTGCACTCCTATATATAGCTGCTTTTCTGTGGGTGGTTTATTTTGGAAGAAACAAGTCCAGAATTTAAATATACGTAATAAGCTTTATAAATGTTGTTGTTTAGTCGTTAAGTCATGTCCGACTCTTTGTGACCCCATGGACCAGAGCACACCAGGCCCTCCTGTCTTCCACTGCCTCCCGGAGTTGGGTCAAATTCATGTTGGTAATTTCTGTGATACTATCCATCCATCTCATCCTCTGTTGTCCCCTGCTCCTCTTGCTTTCACATTTTCTCAACATCAGGGTCTTTTCCAGGGAATTTTCTCTTCTCATGAGATGGGCAACGTACTGGAGCCTCAAATCCAGGATCTGTCCTTCCAGTGAGCACTCAGGGTTGATTTCCTTTAGAATGGATAGGGTTGTTCTCCTTGCAGTCCAGGGGACTCTCAAGAGTCTCCTCCAGCACCACAATTCAGAAGCATCAATTATTCTGTGGTCAGCCGCCTTTATGGGCCAGCTCTCGCTTCCATACATCACTACTGGAAAAACCATAGCTTTGACTATGTGGACCTTTGTTTGCAAGGTGATGTCTCTGCTTTTTAAGATGTTGTCTAGGTCTATCATCACTTTCTTCCCAAGAACCAGGTATCTTTTAATTTTGTGGCTGCTGTCACCATCTGCAGCGATCATGGAGCCCAAGAAAGTAATCTCTCTCACTGCCTCCATATCTTCCCCTTCTATGTGCCAGGAGGTGATGGGACCAGTGGCCATGATCTTGAGTTTTTTTATGTTGAACTTCAGACCATTTTTACGCTCTCCTCTTTCACCCTCATTAAGAGGTTCTTCAATTCTTCATCACTTTCTGCCATCAGAGTGGTATCATCTGCACATCTGAGGTTGTTGATATTTCTTCTGGCAATCTTAATTCTGGCTTGGGATTCCTCCAGTCCAGCCTTTCTCGTGAGGTATTCTGCATACAGTGGTGCCTCGCTTGACAAGGATAATTCATTCAGTTCAAATCGCTGTTAAGCGAAATCCTTGTCAAGCGAAATGAAAAAGCCCATTGAAATGCATTGAAAACCGGTTCAATGCATTCCAACGGGCGAAATGCCTCAGCGTCCAGCAAAGCTCCTCCATAGGGCGGCCATTTTCCGGTGCCTGTAATGCAAGGAATCCGTCCTAAAGCACAGTGGGCCGGCCATTCTGAAACCCGACGTTCAGCTGTTTTTGATTGTCGTTAAGCGAGAAATCAGTTCCTGAACCAGGGAACCAATGAATGTTAAGCGAAAAAGCCCATTCAGTCATCGTTTAGCGATCACAATAGCGATTGCAAAAAACTAATCGTCAAGCGATTTCCTCATCTAACAAGGTAATCGTCAAGCAAGGCACCACTGTATAAGTTAAATAAGCATGGAGACAATATACAGCTTTGTCGTACTCCTTTCCCAATCTTGAACCAATCAGTTGTTCCATACCCAGTTCTAACTGTTGCTTCCTGTCCCATATATAGATTTTTCAGGAGATAGATAAGGTGGTCAGGCACTCCCATTTCTTTAAGAACTTGCCACAGTTTGCTGTGGTCCATACAGTCAAAGGCTTTTGCGTAGTCAATGAAGCAGAAGCAGATATTTTTCTGGAACTTTGGCTTTCTCCATAATCCAGCGCATGCTAGCAATTTGGTCTCTAGTTTCTTTGCCCCTTCGAAATCCAGCTTGTACTTCTGGAACTTCTCGGTCCACACACTGCTGATGCCTACTTTGTAGGATTTTGGGCATAACCTTGCTAGTGTGTGAAATGACTGCAATTGTATGAGTTGTTTTTTCTAAACTAAAACATCAATATTCAGATTTAATTGCAGTGTCAGCACTTCGAAAGAAATAATTTGGTTTTGTGCCGCTGTTTGGGCACTCAGGCTCAAAAAGGTTAGCCATCGCTGGTTTAGGACCTCAATACCTGTCAGACTGCCTTCTTCTACCTGGTTCTACCCGTGTCGCTCGTTCTAGCCAGGCTGGACGGCTGAGGGGCTTAACTCTGAGAGTTCTGGAAGGAAAAAACTAGAAACCGGGCCTTCTTGGCAGTGGCCCCTCACCTTTGGAACATTCCTCCCCCTGAGATCCACCTGGCTCCCTCATTGGGAGTTTTTTAAAATAAACTGAAGACCTGGCTCTTCCAGCAGGCCTTCCCTCCTAACTGCTTAATTTCTTCCCCTGGTTTTTCCATCTTGGATTATATTTGCTTGTTTTATTTATATTTTTAACTTTATTGCTTTTTGAACTGTAAACTGCCCAGAGTAGATTCATCTGGATGGGCGGTATAAAAGCCAAATAAGTAAGTAAGTAAGTAAGTAAGTAAGTAAGTAAGTAAGTAAGTAAGTAAGTAAGTAAGTAAGTAAATAAATAAATAAATAAATAAATAAATAAATAATTTTCACCACCAGGTCTGGTGTGGTTAATTCCTGGTGTCAGATATGCTACTGGAAAGATGTTTTTAAAAAGATGGCAGGCCTGGGTTGTGGCTGGCTACAATGCCCATAAGTAGAGTTTTTCATAGCTGGAAAACTTCAATGTGGTCTATCATTTTTCAACTACAATTTTATTTTAATTGTACCACAGGAAGATAAAAGTATATACAGTGGTGCCTCACATAACGATGTTAATTGGTTCCATTAAAAACATCATTATGTGAAAACATCATTAAGCGAAACACCATTTCCCACAGGAATGCATTGAAAACCGGTTAATCCGTTCCAATAGGAGCCTATTCAATACATTTCAATGGTGAAAAAAAATCACCAAAAATTCAAAAAGACTCAGAACGAAGCCAAATTACTTTAACGAAGGTTTTATTAGGTGCACTAACGATTCCAAGCATTTTAAACATTTTAGAATATTTTTAAAATAGCGAAAACAGGGCTGTAAAAAAAAAAAACGTTAAGCGAAACAGGGGACCTAATACTGTCATTGTTAAGTGAAGCAAGGTCCCAAACATCGTTATGCGAAAATCCCCCATAGGAAACATCGTTAGGTGAGGCGGCAAAATTTCCAGCAAAGGCCATCGTTATGCGAATTCATCGTTGAGTGAAGCACTCGTTAAGCGAGGCACCACTGTACTCCTATTCTGAATGCACTACCAAAAGATTTCAAAAATGCTTCAGAGAACAGTAGGACTCCCATATTCATGGAATTTGATTCGGCAGTTTAACATGTCTGTGGGTTGCACAGCCCTGCACACAGCACCTTCATGGCCTTTGCCCCGCCCCTTTGTATGTTGTATATAGAGTCCCCTCATATCAGCAGGTTCAGGAATTCACAGTAGATTGTGGAACCAATCCCCTATGGATATGTGGATGCTATTGTAAAATTCAGATCCAAGATATTAATAGTTAAGAGAAGGCTTCCTCAGATCCAAACATCAGGTTCAAATGAAAAGCAAAAACAATTGCACGGAATCTAGGCTTATTTATTTATTTACAATTTTTTTACCCCACATTTCTCCTTAAAATAACCCTAGCTGGCTTATCTGAGAGCATAGTGAAAAAACAGAATCTGCTCTATTTGTAGTCATAATGTTAGTTTTTAAAAGCAGTAATTACAAATCTCACACAGTACTAGGTTTATTTTGACCCTAATGCACCCAGCTTAAAAACTGTATTTTTTCAAAATATGGCAGAAGCATATTGCTATTTCTTGTTCACTTCTTATTGACCTCTTTTTTGCTTTGTTATCCACTAACAGAAAAACATTCTTGATTCATCTGAACATTGTGCCATGGTTAAATATCAGGGTTTCTTGAACACTTGACTCATGAGTATAAATGCACAAAAATGTCCGTGTTTTCTACAAGCACAAGTAACAATTTAAAACGTAATTTTCAACAGTCTGACATAATACCAGTAGCAAAAAAGATAAGAAGTTTAGATCTGATCATCAATAGCATAAAATACAGCAAGACTAATTCCACAGTGGGAGAGATTATGTTTTTTTCAAGTGTTTGAACTAATTTTCCTTTTGTTTAAATATATTAATCTTTTGTTCTTCCCTCTCCTTCCCTCTAAATTACCATATTTAAATCTACATCTTTTTTGTTCAAGTCAGAGCAAGATTTTCACTTAAAATAAATGACAAAAGTTGCACTTACCTACAATACTTTTTTCTGGAGCTGGAGGCACAATGTACCCAACGTGCAAATATTTAGTTGCTAATTTGGCGTGCAAGCCTAGAAAGTCGCTGAATCTTCTTTTAACAGAGAATTCATTTTTGTGAAACATGGACAAGGAAGTCTACAAACAGAAAAATATGTTATTTTAAAATGCAACATATACACTAGCACTTGAAAGTCAAAATCCTACATTGTTCTGTCAAGCATATATTACCTTTGTTGTTACTCTATATGCCATGTAAGCATTCATGCCATCACCTGCAGAAGACACATGCACAAGTCAGTTATTAGATGTTTCACTTTTCACAGAATTTGGTTGCAACTACACTGACAAAAATGCAGGAAATACTGCGTGACTGGGGTTGTCCAATTCCCTTTTTGTTGTTGTTGTTGACCACACGATGCAAAAGTAACTGCAAATCAGCCTGGAGTCCACCACTCAATCCATAGTTTTTCCCTCTACCAGTGGGGCTTCTACTTTTTTCCATAACAGATCCATCTGCATTGGTTCAGCTGGTGTAATCACACAAACTGATGCAGAAAAGTGTGTGATGTGGTTGGTGCAAGAGCACAGTAGAATGGGGGGAGAGCAAAGAAATGATAAACGCTTTTTTAAAAAACAGCTTGGTGATATTGCTGTTGCTTTACTGCATCTAGATACCAAGAAGAAGCAGAAACAGTCAAAAAAGAAAGGAAGGAAGGGGAAGGGGATAAACAAGAGGAGGAAATTGGCATTCAGATCTTTTTTACAGTTTATTAAGGTAGTTCTCCTGTAACTGTGTTTCCTGAAGGGCTACAAGACAGTTACATTAACAAGCTGAAAACAAGGCTGTTTAATCTATTTCTTCTTCCCTGCATGGCCAGTTAATGCAAACAAACATAGGGAAACCTGAACATCCTAGTGCAATGTCAGAGCAAGTGAATTTGCATTTCTCTGGCTGTATAATCACACCCTTAGTATGGTATCAAGATGACTATATAAACAGGTTTTAACAGATTATGTACTGTGTCTATACTGTGCCATTTTCAAACTTACCAACTTTTTCTGGATCTGACACACTAATATCAATGTCAAACAAGTCTCCATTTGCCTCTTCTTCAATCTAAAAGACATATTTGATATAGTTACTGACTTATCTTTCAAGACGTTTGTCAGTTATGTCTAATGACAAACTCTTAAATCTTGGACATGTCCATGATTAAGCCAATGGCTAGGTAGCAAGTCAACTACAGAGAACTAGCATCCCCTCAAATACAGTGGTGCCTCGCACAACGGGTGCCTCACACAACGATGAATTCACACAACGATGCCTTTTTCTGTTAAATTTGCCGCCTCACACAGCGATGTTTCCTATGGGGGATTTTCACACAACGATGTCTCTTTTTCATTCCTGTAAAAGTGTCTTACAATGTTTGGAAGCCGTTTTAAATGCTTGCAATGGTTAGCCACCTCCCGAAACCTATGCAAACTGATTCTGGTGTTGTTCTGACACTTCGTTAATTTATGGTAATTTTTTGTTTTCTCCCTTGAAAACAATTGAATGGTCTAATGGTTTCCAATGGAGAAAACAAAAAATCATTATAAATTAACGAAGTCTCAGAACAACACCAGGAGTGAAAAGGGAGATCGGGAAGAGCTTTAAAAGGCAAACGGAGATCAAAGAGCCCTTTCCCGATCTCCCTTTTCGCAGCAATTTCGGCCCCGCTGGCCCCATGGTGGGGAGCGTCACAAGGGTCCGAGTGAGCCTTCCCGGACCACTGCGATGCTCCCCCCACCTGGAAGCTGGTGATTTTGCCCACGCTGGCCCTGTGGGGGGTCCGGGAAGGCTCACTCGGACCCTTGCGCC